TTTCTTAAAAACACATAAAATCGTATTATAACATCAACATAGACAAATAATAAAATAGAACATTAAAATCGAGATATATTTCGTTGCATTGCACGAGTACTCTTATAATATTTATAAATACTCCTATACAATTTCCATATAGTATTTATTAAAATTCACAGATAATAAATTATATTATATTTATGAAAATTAATATGTTATATATAATGTGTGAATATATAACATACAATTTTCATATAATATTTATTAAAATTTGCAGATAATTTTTATATTATATTTATGAAAATTAATATGTTATATATAATGTGGTATATATATAGTGTATGTGTGAGAGAAATTAATTAAAATAGCTATTTTTTACAGTGGGTTTTACCTCTTAGCTATTTTTCTTCCAAAATAATTAAAATAGTCATAAGTCCGAATTGGCAGGTCTGCAATTTGCAAAACATGTCAAAGTGTAAAAAAAAAGGTTTTGAACCAGACTTGCAATTGAAGGGATCAAATATGTAAACTAGTTATTGGTCCACAAAAATATTTCTGCAATTGCAGATGTGTTTTGCTAAATTTACATATTTGGTCCTTACAATTACGAAACTAATCAAAAAACTTCTTTTTTTCTTATACTTTGACTCCTCAACAGATTGAGGACCTATGACTATTTTCGTATTTTGGGAGACAAATGGCTAAGATGTGAAACCACATGGTTAAAATGACTATTTTAATTAATTCCTATATATACACGTAATATATTTTCGTAATACATAATATATTTGTCAATAACGTATATAACATAAATATTATATATAATATATATTTATATATGAGGATCGATCAAATGAAAACCACCCTCATTTGTACAAATTATACAAACTACCCTCATACGTCGATTTCATTGTTTAATCTTATGAAAAAATCTCATGAAATTGTTTAATCTTGTGAAATTGTTTTATATAATATTTTTTTTGATGAATTTGTTTCATATATGGTTATGAAATTGTTTCATATAATATTTAATGAAACTGTTTCATGTATTTCTCTAAAATTAAAATAATGAAGATGATAATCTTCATTATTAACACCCTCCACAATAAAAATGGTTAATCAACCTCTCATAATTACAAAAAATAAATAAACAAAATGAAAAATTATGATTGGTTGAATGAAATTTTTACTGTTTGTACAAATTGAGTGATTTTTATTTGAACGCTCCTCTATTATATATTGGATCGTTTTGTAATTTAGCCATTTAATCTCGCTTCTTTCTTTCCATCTATTTCTAGGGGTGCACATAGTTTGGATTGAAGGGTTTGCGCCATCTAATCTAATGAACCCAATTATGACATTTTGAGAAAATCTCAACCCTTATCTCATTCGTATATCTTAATGTTAGATCAAGCAAGAAATAATAAGTTTTGTTATATCATGTCCATATATCAAACACGTCTTGAAAATTACAACAAACTGCCAACCAAGATTCATATGTATAGTGTGGTTTTTTTTATTAAATCAATAAATTTATTATCTATCTATATTATATTATAAAGTATTTGATAAAAACTCTTAAAAACTATTTTTTATGCATAAAGTACGTACTGTTTATTAATGCATATTACTTAAAACTAAATATTGCAAGTAGATTGTGCGTAAGTACAACTTATTAAAGCTCCATATCTGAATTCGTGTAACTAACTGCAGATAAACATAATCAAATACAGAATAAACATCACATTTTAAATATAAAAAATATAATAGAATGCTTAAATATTATCTTTATAAAATTTATAATATTAAACCAAAAATAAATTATTTCATTATTAAACTTAAATTAAATTACAATAAAAATAAATAAATTAAAAAATTACATAAAAAATGAGAACTTTTAAATAGTTGATTTGATATTAATATTGATATATTTTTTTTTCAAAATTTTATGATATATTCAAATTTATATTTTATTCAAAAATAAAACCATTATTGATTTCTTAAAACACATAATTTATACTATATTACTAGAAGGGTACTCGCGCAATGCGCGCAGTGAGATAAATCTCCATTTTAATATTTAGTTTTTATTATTTGTCTCTATCGATATATTACGATTTTATGTGTTTTTTGAGAAAGCGATAATGTTTTTAAAAGAAATATAAATTTGAAGATAGCGTAAAAATTTAAAAAAAAATCGATATTAGTATTAAATTAACTATTTAATAGTTTCGTTTTTTTTTTGTGTAACTTCTTTAATTCAATTTTTTATTATAATTTAATTAGGTCTAATAACAACGTAATTTATTTTTGATTTAATAATATAATTTTTATTAAAGATAATAATTAAACATTTGGTTAGAAACTCAATAACTATCTTAATTATATTTTAGATATATAATATTTAAAATAGATGTTTATCTTGTATTTGATTATGTATGTCTGCAGTTACTTATACGAATTTAAAAATGAAGCTTTAATAAGTTGTACTTGCGCAAAATCACTTGTAATCTTGAATTTTAAGTAATATGCATCAATAAACAGTACTTCATGCATAAAAAATGGTTTTTAAGAGTTTTTGTTAAATACTTCATAATATAGTATAGATAAAGCATTTGACAAAAACTCTTAAAAACCATTTTTTAATGCGTGAAGTACTGTTTATTAATGCATATTACTTAAAACTCAAGATTGCAATTAGATTGTGCGTAAGTACAACTTATTAAAACTCCATATCTGAATTCGTGTAATTAACTGTAGATAAATATAATCAAATACAGGATAAACATCTCATTTTAAATATAATTAATATAATCATTGAGTTCTAACAGAATACTTAATTATTATCTTTATAAAATGTTATATTATTAAACCAAAAATAAATTATTTNATATATATATATATATATATATATATATATATTTTCAAATTTTTATAATATTTTCAAATTTATAATTTATTAAAAAATAAAATCATTATTGTTTTCTTAAAAACACATAAAATCGTATTATAACATCGATAGAAACAAATAATAAAACAGAATATTAAAATCGAGATGTGTCTCGTTGCATTTTTCTAATATTATAAAAAAAATTTAGATCATGTTATCAAAACAATTTAAATTTCAAAGCTTATAAATTTCTAAGTCTAAAATATCCAACAATTAATAAACACCTTTAAGTTACAAATAAATGTTGAGATAATACTCTATAAATTTCAGATTTTATTATATACATAATGAAAAACAGTATTAATTATAAAATCAAATTTTATATTTTTATATACGATGAAAAATCTGTATCTATTACCAAATCATATATATACGATGAAAAATCTGTATCTATTACCAAATCATATATTAAATAATATAAAATTGTATTAATTTTATTTGTAATAAATTCTTGCATCAAGTAATTTTAATTACAAATGGTTTGCTGGGTCGGTGGACGCGTGGACATCATGAGCAACGCCACCTTCAAGTTCAAAAACGCAAAATTAAGGAGAGAAATTGTTTGATCTCTCCAATTGGATTTCGTTGGTTAATTTCTCCCTCGTCCCCGATCCCTAATATCATAACCAGTGGGATGAAGGAGGAGAAGTAACCAAGTGTTTCTCTGGATCCCATCTCTCCAATCGTTGCATTTTCAATTCCTTCTTGATTCAACTCTAAATTCAAATGGGCAACTGCTTCGGCAACAGAACGAATGATGTCAAACACTGCTCTAATTACGTGCAACCCCACACCGCTGGTAATTCATCCTCTTTTATGTACAATTTCTTCAATCCATTCTCGATTTTTAAGTTTGTTTATGTTTATGTTGGCTAATTTCGCTACTTCTTTAATTCATCGGAACAACTGATCATCTGTTCTTAAGTTTGGAGTTCGCATTATGTTTCATTCCCTACGTCTTGATGTAATTAAGGGTTTAAAGGATACTGTAGCTACTTGGTGTTTGCTTCATGATTGTGATCAACTTATTGCTGGTCTTAAATAGCTTCTTATTAAATTAATTTGTTGTACATTAATGCTTCTGGGAAACATTATGATCAAGGGTTTGGATTCTTCATTAGGATTACTATGTTCTAATTTCCTGTAAGTTGTCAACACTTTCAGTAGTAAATAAATGTGTGTTCAATAGCTGAATTAATCAACAATTGAATTAATTTTGATCCATGATCATTGATCTCTAGAAGGAAGTTGCTGGTTACATCTGTGAGAAAACTAATGATTTTTTTTAGGGTTTGATGGTGTTCATCAAGTATTCATGATCATGTGATCAAACCACGATCGACTGTACTAATTACCACCTACAGGACGAATGAGATATATATATATATATATATATATATATATGGTCGAACCAAATGTTTGATGGTAGTTCATGAGGTTCTTTAATCTCTATGTAGAGCATGCAGCAAGCGATTGTAGATCTCTTTTTGAAGGAATGGGGATGTAAATCGCTTTTTGCTGCATTGTGAGCTTATGAAACTACTTCCATGATTTGAACAGCGACCTTAATTTCGTTACAAGAAGTAATCTAACTTCTCCAAGGCTCATCCATAATCTTTATGTTTATGCTAAAAAATAATTCAAGTGGGCTTGATTTCTAACCATATATATTGAATTCAACATTTTGCTGTACAATCTTCAAAAGGATATATAGAGTATTGATTAATTCGCGTGTCTTTTTGTTAGCATCGCATTAATTAGAGACGCTTTACATGAATAGCGCCTTCTCCTTTGCTATCGAGGGATCTTACTTACAGATTGTCCTATGCATATCTAATCTTATGTGATCATCATGGGTCACAACGATTCTATGCATTCTTTATGTGTTTGATCGGTTTTTGTGTAAATTTGTATATGTATGTTTATGCATATCCATCTCCGTTTCATCTTTAGATACGCATGGAGGGGATGTATAGCAACGTTTATGAATCTATCATGATGGAATTTAATTGAAATATAGAAAATATGCTTTTATGATAGATACTACTTTAATTCTTAATTTATGATTTTATGCGGTTTACGGTAATTGATCATTGATTCAGGAGGGGCCAAGGAACCTTACAGAAGCAATTCGATTAAGAAACTTAGTCATCCTTTACCACCTCCACCTCAACATATTTACCCTCAAAAGCTGCCAAGTCCAAGGCATGAGACTGAGATGATATTATTCTCTCCTCATTTGAAATCCTTCACATTTAACGAGCTTAGAAACGCCACTAGAAACTTTTTCCCCAATTATCTTCTCGGAGAAGGTGGATTTGGCTATGTATACAAAGGATGGCTCAACAAGGAAACCCTTACTCCAGTAGAACCTAGATGTGGAATTGCAGTTGCGATCAAGAAACTTAAGCCCGAAGGATTTCAAGGGCATAAGGAGTGGTTGGTGCGTTTTCATTTATTTCCTTCATAAGTATAAGATTCGTTCTTTCGCTAGTCATCAATGTTGTTCTAATTAAGTTGAAATTGTATTAATTTGTTTGCAGTCTGAAATTACTTATCTTGGTAGACTTCAGCATCCAAATTTGGTCAATCTTTTTGGTTTCTGCTGTGAAGGTAAAAATAGGTTGTTGGTCTATGAATTCATGCCTCGAGGTAGCTTGGAGAATCATCTTTTTAGACGTACGTTTGATCATCTTCTTCCTGATTTGTTAGACTTTAGTCACTATACAATTTTCAATTTGTTTGTGACACCTATTTCATGTCCTTACAATTATACATGTCCTATATCAGGAGGTGCACAGCCTCTTTCATGGGCACTAAGGGTTAAAATTGCGGTGGATGCTGCTCGGGGGCTTGCTTTCTTGCATGCTTCAGAATCAAAAATCATATATCGTGATTTTAAATCTTCTAACATCCTGCTAAACATGGTATAATATTCTTTGTGACATATAACTCAATCTCCGTTTTCACCACTTTAGATGTGCCTAATTAATTTGTGAAACTATGTGTTTGTATATAGGACTATAGCGCAAAGCTCTCCGACTTTGGTTTGGCAAAAGATGGTCCAACAGGCGATCGGACTCATGTATCAACTCGAGTAATAGGCACCGAAGGCTACGCAGCCCCTGAATATATGGCTACAGGTTTATTCCTTGGCTCCTGAATTTTATTCTTTTTCAAAGTATTGTTTAAGGGGACCTAGTACCTGGCTAACAGTCGTATAAATACATATATAATAGTAATGGGGAAAGTTCATTTAGGAACTGTAAATATTTCGAAAGTCGAGAAACCGAATATATATGATGAATAATCATACCAAGTATTATGATATTCACTATGAATGTTGATCATGATATTCATTATGAATATTTGCTCTCAAAATATTTAACCTGCCCCTAGTAGTAATTACTAGTTGCTTGAAATTTAGATCTTGCATAAAATAGTAGCATATATGTGATTGCAGGTAGACTTACAACAAAATGTGATGTATATAGCTTTGGGATAGTGTTGTTGGAAATCATCACAGGGCGGCGTGTCATCGACAGGAAACAGGTTTCTGAAGAGCAGAAGCTGTTGGAATGGGTAAAGCCTCAATTGAGAGATCCCAAGAAGCTATTCAGGATCATGGACACAAAACTAGAAGGGCGATACCCAAGGAAGGGGGCGTACGTTGTGGCCAACCTCGCCCTCCAATGTTGCCATTCGGAGGCCAAATATCGGCCCCACATGTCTGAAGTACTGTCGATTCTAGAAAGAGTCCCATGTGGTAGACCAGACCATCATCAGAACAGAATTTCAAGTCCAAGGTCGGAAAGCAGTGGACATAGCCCCTACGACATGAGCCAGAGTCATGGTTCTCCGGTGCAATGGTCACTGCAAGGTTCACCAGTGCAATGGTCACTGCAGGGTTCACCATTGATGCCTCCTCGATCGTAGATAGATCAGTTTAAGCATAGTTCGATATATGGGTTGTTGATGAGAATTAACCAACCTTAGTCCAAATTGAAGTAATTAATAACCAGCTTGCTATATATAATATGCATATATATATTGAAGGTCTGTTTAATTCCTCCCATATTTGGTCTCCTACTTATTAATTTGTTGGTATTGATTATAATTATAAAGTATTTTCAAAAAGTGCTTTTTTGATTTTTGAGTCAAATAAAGCATTTTCATATCATTAATTTAATCACTACCATTTACGTTTTAATCTTTTATATTATTAAAAAATTAAAATCAAATAACGAAAACAACGTTATTTGCTGATGGTATTGACCATTGAGCGTTACAATTCTTATGATGCTGTGTTTGGTTCTTTGTGGTTGATAGAAAGCTAGTGAGAACAGGTGTATTCTATCAAGTTTGTGAATTAAATATAATTACATTGTTCTACAAATATATATATATATATATATATATATATATATATTACCTACTTTCAGTAAAATGTGACTCATTGGGTATGCATTGCACTGAGTTTGGTAACTCGGTAATTGTTTTGACCAAATCACAGAATCCCTATTAAATATTTACCTCTCTTTCCATATATAGAAAATAGACAACATAACTTTTTGGTATCAAGCTAAAACTCTCGTATATTGTTCATACCCAAAACCCTTCAGTTCATTATAAATCCTTGTACAGACAGAAAGCAGGAAACAAAAGAAGAAGAAGAAGAAGAAGAAATAATGGCTGGGTACAGTTGCAGCAGCGGTGCATGGCAGGCCGACGACCATATCCTTCCGGCAGACCTTCCACAACCCAACTCATACCGTCTCTTCTTCATGAGGGTGACGGTGGAGTTTAACCATACCACCAGAATCTTCAAGGAGGTGTCTGTCAAAATAGATGAAGCAATGGGACTTAGCAGGGAGGCATGGGACTTGATTCGCGATGTGCTAAACCAGATGGAATCACCAACCTCCGCCATTGGAGAAACAATCGCCCAGCTCACCTGCTGTGCACTGCAGATGCTGAAAGATCCGGCCAACGCCGGCCGGTTGGTGCTCCCGATGGAGGCTCTTGTCACTTGCGTTGCTGAAGAATAAGAATGGGAGGAAGTGGGAAGCAAGCTGGCCTGGTTGCATGCATGTTTTCCATGAAAGCTGTATGGGGGAATGGTTTACATATAACCGTTCCTGTTGTGTCCTGTTTGCCGTTACAATTAATAACATCAATTAATTAGAATTATCAAAATCAAGAAATCATGAGATGTATGAGGATTTGCTGTCGATTGTTGTCTAAGATTATAATGTTTCCTTCATTAATCCGTTCAACAAGTATTGATTCTATAGATGTTTAATCAGCTATCCATGTTATTAAATACGTACAATAGTGATCACGGAGGTTCAAATGCGGTGATTACGGGCTACCAAAGCAGGTGGTTGTCCTAGGATTAGTCAACTCGCATAGCGGATTGGATATCCAGGTTAATCAAAAAAAAATACGTACAATATATGAAAACATGTATTTTAACAACATTCTGAATAGCTCTCTCAAAATGAGGTTACGGAAGAGATGGGTAGAAAATTCTCAATATTTTTTTATTAACTTAGATATTCAATCTGGTATGCGAGTCGACTAATTATAATGTGACCGTCTACTTGGCGGATATTTTGGAGTCATCGTATTTGAACCTTCGTAGCCACAAGAGGATTGAATTTAAATCTGCGATCTACATACAATTTTGACCTTTGGAGCTCAAGCTCAAACCAATCAAATGCCACCCTAACCTAAACTAATAGCAATAATATTTTGCCTTTTTTTTCCAAGATACCAATATAATAAAATTGATTTTACATGACAACTAAAATATTTAAGCATCATAATAAAATACATAATTAGAATTAAGTTTTTAGCATCAAATTTCATAAAGATGTCTTATCTAAAAGTGTTACAATAGATTAATAGTATGTTTTTAGAGGTTTCAACAGAAACTTTAGGACGTTTTTAAAATAGTATGTCGTATTAGCCATTTTATACAGCATTATTTGAAAATTTGTTGTACAAACACAAATGTCTTATAAAAAAGATGGTTTTATAGGACACTTATAGGATGTCCTATAAAATAGCTAATACGACACTTTTATTTTCGCATGTAAATAGAGAATTTGTTAAAACGCTCAAAAACTTCATATTAATCTATTTTAACACAATTAGATATGACGTTTCATAATTTGATTTTATAAACTTAAGTTATATAAAGTATTTTATTAAGACGTTTAGATATCTTAATTATCCTAAAAACTATGATATCTTCTTTAAAGAGTTTATAATATTACCTAATAAATATGTAAACTTTAATACTATAGAGAATGTTGAAAACATTGTCATAAATGAATGTAAAAATTCTAAGGGGGTTTTTTATTTACTTCTCAATAGTTTCATTAAAATGTAACATTTGAATCATTAAAATGTGAATCTTGTTTGGCAAAAACAAAAAATTGTCTCTTAATGGTTCTAAAACCCTTTGAATGATTTCGTAAACAATTACCAAAAAAATATATTTCATTTTACATTATATCATGAAAGTCTCTTAATCATTTCGATAACTTAATTATTCTACATCAAACCATTCAACAACTGTCAAACAGCCTTTACCTATGCTTTAAAGAAAATAGGTTAATTTAATAATAAGTCGATACCAAAAAGTAATTACTTGGTCAACAATTCAACCAACGTAATTAATTGGTAATAATTCAATTTGTCTTCTAAAAGTGATTAGCTCGTAAATAAGAAATTTTTCTCTCTTATATTTTAGTTAATTAGTTTTTTTTCTTTTAACTACCTATTTTTACATATATGGTATATATAATAGTAGAGCAAAATGCACAAAATAGCAATCTACTTTCATAAATTTCTTTATTATAGCATTGTACTTCAATTTTTCTTATTACAACAATATACTTTCAAACTATTTTTATTAGGACATTGTACTTTAAAAAATTTACCCATTATAGTAATGGATAACCTTTGATTTAAATTTACTCATTATATTAGGTTTTCATGTCACCTCATTGTCCACGTAGACTGTCCACATGTACTATAGTGATGTGACTTTCTTATTACATCATTGTACTTTTAAAATTATTTTATTATAGCATCTATTAGTTCTTATTAAACAATGTATTTTTTATTTTAATATTTAGATATTTTACATGTTATTTAATAAATGTATTAAATGAATTAAAAACATCCTAAATTGTTCATTAATATACCAATATCAATAAAACTAGTAGAACACAACTTATCTCGCTAACATTTTTAAAAAAATATGTGTTTTTTGAAAAAAAGAAAAATAAGAATTGTTCTTTTTTTACCAAAAATATTATCTTTTAAAAAATATATTATATTTGTTCAAAAACTTTTTACTTGACGTATAAATATATTAAATTAATTGGACTTTTTTGAATTATTATTAATATAACAATATTAAAAAATTGTGGATAACAATTTATTTCGTTAATATTTTAAAGAGAACTTTAAAAAATATGTATTTATTTGAACAACATAAAATAGAAAAAGTTACCTTTTTACAAACAAAATATATCGCGAAAATAATGTTTCATATTTATTTAATAAATATTTTACTCTAATAATATTTAATTTAAATGCAACTTAATAAGAAAAAGTAAAAAAATGTTTTTTAAATTATAGCAATGAAAAATGAAAATCACTAATAATAATTTGAAATAGGTTTTTATTTTAATTTTCGTTAAGTCATTAAAATGATGTGGCATCCACATCACCTCATTAAAGTCACACAAACAAAAAAAGTCAAAGGGTTAACCGGTTTAAAAGGTAACAGGTTACCCATTGTTATTATGGCTAGATTTTTTAAAGTACAATACCTTAATAAAAAATAACTTGAAAGTACATTGCTGTAATAAAGAAAAACAAAAGTAGAATGCTATAATAAAAAAATTTATGAAAGTAGGTTGTTATTTCATGCATTTAACCCTATAATAGTATGCTTAAATTTTTTGACGTTATATAAATTTAATTTTATTGTAATGATAGTTTTTTTTAATTGTTTGAATAGTTAGTATTTTTCTAATCTTAATTTATAATTTCTATTTTATTGTTATTGTAATTATTTGTAGTTTGACTAAATATTAATAATCTCATGTTAACCAAACTTAATTTTCAATATTTTTGCTCGCATATTTTAAATTCTCAACTCAAAATATATGTGAATTTATCTCGATTTCTTTTGTTTTTCTTAACTTGAGATTTTTTAACGCTAATCTTTTTTTTTTTGATTTTATAGTTTTTTTAAAATCAATATAAAATTTTTATTTGATATGTATTTTATTTAAGATATTTGATTTATGGTTGGATATAAATATTTTTTAGCAAAAAATAAAAAAAACATGAATTACATTATAGTTTAGAGCTTATTGCATTTTTTGATCCTTATAGTTTGTTCAAAGACCAATGAGTCTTTCATAATGGTTGCTACCTGACATTGTTAAGTAAACGTATCATGAATGTTATTAAAATGAAAAGTTAAGGATCAAGATATTTTGTTTTAAAGACCAAATCCAAAATTTAATCAAACCACATGAACCATCGATGTAATTCACTCGTGATTATATGATATATTACCTTTTGTAACCATGGAGAATATTGTTGCCATGGGTAGCGGACAATTTGGATTCCAAATACCATTATGCACCGCTCTATTTAGCAACGTCATTACTAGAAAATCGAGTATTAGCGACGGAAAAAATTTGTCGCTAATCAGCAAATTATTTGCGAGGGATAGACCAAAAACCCTTTTCGGCGCAAAAATTATTTGATTTTTATTTTTTAATATTTTCAAAACTCAAAAATTTAATGAATATCTGAAAATATATTAAATATGTTATTTGAATATATTTATCTATTATCTAAAATCAAAAAGATGCACGTGTATACAGATAAAATACATGTCA